AAATAAGGATTTCGAAGCAAGTAGTGTGTGCTCATATTCTCGTATCATTGCTCAACTCCATCTCCATCTGTGCTTGCTGCATGATTCCTCCACCCTAAATCTAATAGTACTGGTTTATGACCAGCATCTGATAAATATTTTGCAGTACATAACCCAACCAACCAGAATATGCGCAATCCAGTCTCATACCAGTCCGCATCATTGTCCTTTCATGCAGCTACCAATAGTACTGGTTTATGACCAGCATCTGCTAAATATTTTCCAATACATAACCCAGCCAACCCTTCAGAGTGAAAGCGCGCGCCCATCACGACCATCGGGAAAGAGCGCAGTCAACAGTTTCTTATCTTCCTTGACAAACACAAGAAGAAAATGGACGATCTTTTCTTCCTTGTTGTCCATCCAATGCCTATTGTTCATCCTTTTCCTTTATCCCTTTCCTTCTTCCTTTTCCTTTGTTCTTCCCTTTGTTATCCCCTTCCTCTCCTCCCTTCCCATCCCTTCCCCGATTCTTTCCTCCCCTCGACTCCCCTTGACTGCTACTTCCTGCCCCCTGCCCCCCAGGGGGGTTTCGCGCCACCGCGCGCCACCGAGGCAGCATAATGCCCCTCGGCGATCCGGGCCGACACCGAGGCAGCGGGACGCCCCGGGCCGGCCGGCCTAAACCTAACCCCTAAGCCTAACGGCGCCCTAAACCTGACTACCTACCTAAGCCTATCTTCGATGACACATCATTAGCTCAATATTTCTTATTTACATACAACACACAAATCATATAGCTAAGCCGGTTGCTGATCTGGCACTTCAGTCTTGAGCTGAGCGTGCCCGCTTCTACATCTTACTGTATCAATACTCCCTCCTCAAGAACTGACTTGTCTTCAAGTCATCATTCCTTTGTAAAAATAAGGACACACTGCCTTTATACAATCATACCACTCCCATGTTGCATCTTCAGCATTTTGAGCATTTTGACCTTCTCATTGAATCGAAAATTTGACTCTAGCTGCATTACCATACTTAACAATCTGTCTCTCAAAAATAGCATTTGGGTTCACGACAACATCTTGAGACCTTCCTTGTAGCATGTAGGTATATGGTTTTTAATTGTAAACCCGATAACCGAAAGGGTATGCCAAACCCCAACCCGTCCTACCCGGACTCTCCTATCACCTGGAAGACCAAGAAGCAACATACCGTTTCTCGTTCTTCCACTGAGGCTGAGTATAGATCCATGGCTGCCACCACGGCAGAATTAAAATGGGCTAAGGGTCTTCTCCTTAGTCTTGGTATTCCTCACTCGCATTCTATGACTTTGTATTGTGATAATCGTTCTGCTCTTCATATTGCACACAATCCTGTTTTTCACGAGCGAACGAAACATATTGAGGTTGATTGCCATTACGTTCGTGACGTTATTCAGGATGGTTCACTTATTGCTCGCCACGTTTCCACTACTGATCAGCTCGCCGACATCTTTACTAAAGCTTTGGGCAAACGTCAATTTCTTTATCTTCTTGGCAAGTTGGGCATTTTTGAACTCCATGCTCCAACTTGAGGGGGTGTTAGCGTGTTAGATTCATTTCGGGCCTAGCCCATTTGTATTTATTTTGTATATTCCCTTTGGGCTAAGGGCTTATGTATGTACGACACTGTGGACATTCAAAATTAATGGGTCATTTGCTCATAAATTTATTGGACTTTCGAGATATCCTTGAAGAGTTATTATTGTCATTGAGCCTCATTTAAATGCTACTGGACTATTATCTAGACTAGACTACTCGAACCAAAAGGAAAATATTAATATGGATCCACTGGACAAAATTAAGTGATTAAATTAATTTGGATCATTTAAAATATCCAATTAATTTAATTATAAGTTAAGTCTTTAACAAAATGGACCGGTCCTTTTAATTTCTCCATTTTGAGCCCAATGAATAAGAGACACGATCCAATTGATGAAGAGAGCAATGAATCTGGTTAAGAAATATGCCCATATGCTTGAAAAATGGTTGTGAACCTTGTTAAAAAGGATGTCCAGATACATCGAACAAGTGCTGATTAATCTAGCTATTAAATTGCAAGCAAATAGAGCCCAAAGCCCATTTTTATTGGAGCCCAAATGATATGGACGAATTTTGGGAACCCTAAAGCATATTTCATCCCCTCCACACCTATAAATAGGGGTCTCAGTTGAGAGGAATGGGGAGGAGAACTTCCAGACGAAGAAACGCTGCAGCAAAGCTCTGAAGAACTCCCGAAAGGCTCTGAAGGATTCCGAAGAAGAGGAAGAGATCAAGCCACGTTTTTGTCAAGAATATATGAATAATCCTTTGTGATTTCATCGATTCTTGATCAAACAAAGCCAAAAGTTGAAGAACGTTCGAAGATCTAAAGAACGAAGCTTGAAGATTCGAAGATCTGAAGAACGAAGCTTTGAGGATTCGAAGATATGAAGAACGAATCTTTGAAGATTTGAAGATATTCATATGAAGATTGAATCAATATTCAATTGAAGATCAAGTCATATATCCCGGGAAGCCCTTTAACAGAAGATCAAGCCACATAACGGCCCTTTTGTTGAAGATCAAGCTACTTGAAACCGGAGGCCCTTCAATATTGAATTTTGCATTCAAGAAGATTTGAAAATCTGAAGAATGAAGTTCGAAGATTCGAAGATCTCAAGAACGAAGATTCGAAGAATCGAAGAACGTTCGAGTTTTGAAGAATTAGAGATTTAATTTTAAATTAAATTCTTTAATTATATTCATATCAAATTGCAAGTGAAGAATCAGAGGATTCATATTTAGAGATTGTACCCAATATTCTCATATTTTATTATTTGCGATCAATTTTAAGTAAATACTTAAAATTTGTTTCACAAATTTTTGGCACGCCCGGTGGGACAACTCTACCTCTCATCTCTTCACTTTTAATCAAGGAAAACAAAACAATGGCGTCAAGCAAGCCCGTGTTCACTTTGAATTCTCGAGCATCATCAAGCTCAAATCAAAACATGCAAGGCCCTATCACTAGGAGCCGATCAAGAATCCTGGCTGCGCAGTCATGCTCGGGAACTACTCCCGATGCAATGGATGGATCTCGAATTGCGCAAGAGATGGCCCGGAAGTTTTCTTCACCCATACGTGAAGTTACTTCCCCGAAGTGGACAAGCGGTGGTGAGAGCTCATCATCTGGATCAGACTTCACTCCCCCTTCAACTCCTCCACGAAGGACTACTCCGCAGTGGTCAAATGTCTATACTGTGATGCCCACCATGACAACGAACACCACGTCTATGGAAGAACAGATCGCCCATCTAACTAAAGTCATCGAAGGGATGAGTATGTTCATGCAAGCTCAAGACCAAAAGTTGAGTGATCTGAACAACAAAGTAGAAAGCTTGAAAGGCGAGTCAAGTCATACTCATGAGAAGGATCCCGAAGTGAACGAAGAAAATGATCCTCACCAAGAGGATTCAGGGAAGGATATCTCAACTTCTGGGGGCATGATCCCGATTGATCAACTTAAAGACTTCATCATGAGAACCATAAAGGGGAAGATGGAAGGAAGCAAATCTACTTACTCCTATGTTAAGCCATACACTCAAAGGATCGAGGATCTAAAGATGCCCATTGGTTACCAGCCGCCGAAGTTCATCCAGTTTGATGGGAAGGGAAATCCAAGGCAACATGTTGCCCATTTCGTGGAAACTTGCAATAATGCGGGAACAATCAGAGATCACCTTGTCAAACAGTTCGTGCGTTCTTTGAAAGCAAATGCCTTTGACTGGTATACTGATTTGGAGCCCGGTTCCATTGATGGCTGGAAAGATATGGAACGTGAGTTCTTAAACCGTTTTTATAGCACAAGGAGAGTGGTCAGTTTACTCGAACTAACAACTACTCGTCAATGGAAAGATGAATCTGTGATAGCTTACATAGAGCGTTGGAGGGATCTTGCTCTAAACTGCAAAGAACGAATATCTACAAGTTCCGCTATCGATATGTGCATTGAAGGAATGCATTGGGAATTGTGCTACATTCTCAAAGGAGTCAATCCAAACACTTTTGATGAGCTAGCAAGCAAAGCTCGTAACATGGAGTTGAGCATTACGAGCAGTAGAAGGAAAACTGTGGGTATATATCCCATCAATGATGTTGTTGAAAAGCAAGATACCAAGAATGGGGGCAAGCCCTTTTCCAAGTTTGAAAAGAAAGAAGCAATGGTCGCGAAGGTTGCACCTGTTAAGATCTTCACTCAAAATTCAAAACAAGTCCCTAGGGTTGACTTGGAAACGTCAAAACGTGTTAAACCATTTTTAGAAGAGATGTTGGAAAAGAAGTACCCCTTCTTAGACTCTGACGTTCTTCCCATGTTTGAGGAACTGATGAGATTGAAGCTCATAAATTTGCCCGAGTCCAAACGACCCGAGGAAGCTACAAAGGTTGATGACCACAACTACTGCAAGTATCATCGAATTTTAAGTCACCCCACTGAGAAGTGTTGGGTGCTTAAAGATAAAATTATGGCCTTAGCCCGCGAAGGAAAGATTGAACTAGCTGATTCTGCCGCAAGCACAAACCAAATCAACATTACGTTTGGTAGGTTTGCTCCGCTCATGGCCAACAATGACCCAAGTTCTCACAAGCATAAGCTCCCTTTTACTGTCAAGGAAATGAAAGAATGTCTTCCTCTCACTAAAAGAATGGCACTTGAGGATGTTGATGACCAAGGAAGATCATGGACCTTGGTAACTCGAAAGAAACAAAAGAAGAACCACACACCTAAGCCACAACCGAGGAAAGTGGTAAAGAATTGGGTCAGGAAACAACCGATAAACGAGTTAAAGCAAAAGAAACAAAAGAAGGATCGTGTTCGTTCCAAGACTGCACGAAGGGTGATTACTCTCAACGATTTTATGCCAAAGGATTTCAAGAACGAGCTCACTCAAATTTCAAGTTCTTGTCTTAGCACCCATGAAGAAGAACTTGAGACTTCAAGTGGATGTCCATCTCTAGTTTTGACTAAGAAAGAAGTGGTCGAAGCACAAAAATCTACTTCATACGTCACTGACATTGTCTTTAAAGACGAAGATCTCATGTTGGGTGCTACTCCCCATAATCGTCCGTTTTTTGTTGAAGGATACACTCGTGGACAAAGATTCAAAAGAATTATGATTGATCAAGGGTCTGCCGTTAACATTCTGACGGTTCGAGCTATGAAAGACCTCGATATATCAATGGATGAACTCTCCCAAAGCCGCTTGATGATTCAAGGCTTCAATCAAGGGGGGCAAAGGGCGATTGGAATGATACGTCTTGATTTGATCATCGGCGGACTGAAGGCAAACACTCTATGCCATGTGATTGATGCAAAGGCTTCATACAATCTCCTTTTAGGACGCCCATGGATCCATGAGAACGGTGTAATTCCTTCAACGTGGCACCAATGCTTCATGTATGAAGAAAATGGCGTTGTAAAGAAGGTAGTGGCCGATGAAACTCCGTTTACAGAAGCCGAGACGTACTTTGCAGATGCGAAGTTTTACATAAAGACCAAAGTTTCTAAAGAAGACGGTGCTGGACAAGAGGAAACATATCGCCCCTTGATTGAACCAAAGTTGAAAGGGAAACTTGTTGAAGGCATAGAAAGGCTTACATTCCCTCTTGCAAAGATTGAGATATCAAGGCCTCCTCAAAACACATCTGAGGATGAAGTGAAAAACGAGAATGATGTTAAAGCATTTCATCTCCCTAAAGCACGCACAAATGAAGGATTTGACCCAAACACATACAAATTTCTGGCCAAGGCTGGGTCTAATCCTAATGAACAAAAGTTGGGAAAACTCATCCCGGAGGCTGGTGGAGAAGGAACACCGAATCAAATAAATTTACGAGGACACATTGGATTGGGTTATGTTCAACCTAAACCTATAAAGATCCTCATAAATAGAGCCGCAATACATCATACCAGTGCTGATGAAGAAGATGAAGTGACTTCTAAACCGAAGTCTTCTATCTTTGATCGGATTGGGTGGGCAAGATCAAGACCCGCCATCTTTGGCAGAATGGGGCCAAAGCCAAAGAAGATCATAAAGAAGACTTTACAAGAACGTCTTGGTATGGGCCCGATGATAGTGAAACACGCTGAAGACCCATGCATGGGACAAAACTTCAAAAGAAAGCATGTTCATGAAAGATTGGGATTGAAACGTGAATGCAATGCATCTGCTAAAGTTCAATTCGAAAAGCAAAGTCTTAATGAGTATAGAAGTTTTATCCCATCTCTTATGAAGCGAGAAACTAATGTGAAAGTGACCTACGGAAGTGCACTTAAAGTCAAGCCAGTGACCATTGTGCACACTCGTGGTCAATATGAAGACCAATATCAAGATTTAGTACCCTTGATGTCGGGGTATAAATATGTCAAATGAAACGTTGAATTCCTTAAACCACCAATGATGTTGTAAGTGGCTAAACTGCTAAAACATCTCACTTTGTTTATGGGTGAGCATAATCATAGACACTCTTGGCCCACGAGAGTTTAAAATGTGTACGGCAAGCTCCTGGCCCGCATGAGTTAAAACTGTGTATGGCACCCCACCTCTTTTTAGACTACCAATTCAAATGGTACCTATGAACTACGTTTGACTTGATCTCCTTCATAGGAGTACGTAGGCAGCTCAAAAGTTTCATTTTTGAGTTCAGTTATAACAAAACAAACCCCAATTAAGTTTTATCTAAAGGAAGGATATCAAAGGGAGGATTATGAAAAAAAAAACAGATAAAATCAACTGACCGTTTGAAAAAAAGGCCAGACTCTCAGAATTCTTAGGTCTCCTCCTCACCGGAAATGGTTTTAATTGATAATGTCTTTTATCAGCGCCATCGTCCTAACAACGGAGCAAATGGTGCTGACAATCAGCAAAACTGCACGAGTCTCGAGATGCAGACATCATTAGAACTCTCAATTTGTTAGCAAGTAATGCTTTGAGTAACCTGCAATGGAACTAGCTCCTTCGTTTTCCTCTTCTTTGAATGACCTGCGGTGGAACTATCTCCTTCATTGTCCTCTTCTATGAATGACCTGCGACGGAACTGGCTCCTTCATTGTCCTCTTCTTTGAATGACCTGCGACGGAACTGGCTCCTTCATTGTCCTCTTCTTTGAATGACCTGCGGTGGAACTGGCTCCTTCATTGTCCTCTTCTTCGAACGACCTGCGATAGAACTGGCTCCTTCATTGTCCTCTTCTTTGAACGACCTGCGATGGAACAGACTCCTTCATTGTCCTCTTCTTTGAACGACCTGCGATAGAACTGGCTCCTTCATTGTCCTCTTCTTTGAACGACCTGCGATGGAACAGACTCCTTCATTGTCCTCTTCTTTGAACGACCTGCGATAGAACTGGTTCCTTCATTGTCATCTTCTTTGAACGACCTGCGATGGAACGGACTCCTTCATTGTCCTCTTCTTTGAACGACCTGCGATAGGACTGGTTCCTTCATTGTCATCTTCTTTGAACGACCTGCGATGGAATGGAATCCTTCAGCGTCATCTTCTTTGAGTAACCTGCGATGGAACTAGCTCTTTCATTTTCCTCTTCTTTGAACGCCCTGCGATGGATGAACGGCCTGCGATGGAATGGAACCCTTCATTGCCTTCTTCTTTAAACGAACTGGCACCTTCTCATCTTCCTCGTCGTAATCAATTGAACTTCTTCTTCTTGGCTAACGAATGGCGACGACAAGTCTGAACGAGTAGGACAGTAGGCAGTAGCTTCTTCAAAGTCTTGATGGTACCGACTAGCGTGGAAATCCGATCACCTGCCTCGGGACAGCGACAAATCCCCGCCATGCTTTAACCTTCTTGGATCAGCTGTGAACCGTTGCATCAACAAAAATCCGGCAATCGGTCAAAGCTCCCTCCTTTTCAATGAATGGCGTCACCTTCAAGATACTTGAAACAGTAGAATATCGGACTCTCAATTGCGTTGAACTAATGCATTAAAGACTTTAAGCGTTCGACGACTTGATTGTCCCTGCATTAAAAAAAGGGGTGCATTGTTTTTTTTTTTAAAATGATTAAAAAGGAAAAATAAAATTCCTAAAAGTATCAAAAAAAGAAATCTCAGATCTCCAACAGCCCAGTATCTAATACGGAGTAAATGGGAAAGACAAACTGTGGAGCTCCAGCAAATACGTAGCAGCGGCAATCAGTCATCTTCTTCGCACGCAAAAATCAGATGGCGATCGATCACCATCTTCCCCGCCGGAAATCAACATCAAGCTCGTCCAGGCCTCCTTCTCCGACGGCGCCTTTCCTCTTCCAGGTACAGCGAGGAATCCGAGCGACAAATCAAATTCCCCCTCTGGCCGAGAATCAATTTTGAGCTTGGGCAGACCTCCCGACATTACTCCAGCCTTCAATAAGTCAATCACCAACTTCCGGCAACAATAGCTATGGTTACTCCCTCCATGGTTTCTCGTCAACGGAGCCCGGTCAGGTCTTCTTCTCCTTCACGCAAGCCGCAACAGTCAACGGTCGCGGTTTCTTCCTTCAGCAAATAGGCAGCAGCCTCAGACAACAATTAATTGTGCAGGGTAATGGGGTATAAGAGGATAACGAAGCTCGTCCTCATCAAAGTTTTAATCAGAAAGTCGGCAACGGAATAAGCCTGATCCGTGTTAATAAAACTGGAGCCAGTTGGTTAGTTTCTTCTTCTCCCAGGAACTGTCGATCAGCCACTCTTCTTATTCCTCAGCGAAACATGCCTCCAGAATATCAATAGATGGGCCTCCAAGTCCTCTCACAAACTGAATTTGATCTCATGACCAAGAATTGCATTCTGGTGCAACTGCTATAAACTTCTAGAAATTCCCCCTGCAATTTGACAGAAGAAAATAGAAGTTTAATACGGAGTAATAAAGAAGATAAGAGCAAGTATACCAGTCGATTTGCTGGTCTTTCTTCCTAAGGCTTCTACCAATTCTAATACGGTGTATCTAAGTGCAATACGAAGCAGCAAAGGTCAATATTTATAGATATGGATGGTGGAGTTTGAATCGAACTAAAAGTCTCCAAGCTCATAAGACAAGCCGATAAACATCAAGGCAGATGGAAAGAATTGAAGTCCTAATAAAATGCTAAAGCTGAAACAAAATAGAGTCCTTTTACCGGAGTATTTGATGGACATCTTGCAAAAGTGTTTTTTAAGTGTACATGGGCTAATTTAATAAAATTAGCAACACGTTTGAGGAGAGATTTTGGTCTACTTATATATCGAGACTTACTTTTATCTCTTCAAGATTTTTAAGTAAGTCTCGAGGGGGCATTTGTGGACATTCAAAATTAATGGGTCATTTGCTCATAAATTTATTGGACTTTTGAGATATCCTTGAAGAGTTATTATTGTCATTGAGCCTCATTTAAATGCTACTGGACTATTATCTAGACTAGACTACTCGAACCAAAAGGAAAATATTAATATGGATCCACTGGACAAAATTAAGTGATTAAATTAATTTGGATCATTTAAAATATCCAATTAATTTAATTATAAGTTAAGTCTTTAACAAAATGGACCGGTCCTTTTAATTTCTCCATTTTGAGCCCAATGAATAAGAGTCACGATCCAATTGATGAAGAGAGCAATGAATCTGGTTAAGAAATATGCCCATATGCTTGAAAAATGGTTGTGAACCTTGTTAAAAAGGATGTCCAGATACATCGAACAAGTGCTGATTAATCTAGCTATTAAATTGCAAGCAAATAGAACCCAAAGCCCATTTTTATTGGAGCCCAAATGATATGGACGAATTTTGGGAACCCTAAAGCATATTTCATCCCCTCCACACCTATAAATAGGGGTCTCAGTTGAGAGGAATGGGGAGGAGAACTTCCAGACGAAGAAACGCTGCAGCAAAGCTCTGAAGAACTCCCGAAAGGCTCTGAAGGATTCCGAAGAAGAGGAAGAGATCAAGCCACGTTTTTGTCAAGAATATATGAATAATCCTTTGTGATTTCATCGATTCTTGATCAAACAAAGCCAAAAGTTGAAGAACGTTCGAAGATCTAAAGAACGAAGCTTGAAGATTCGAAGATCTGAAGAACGAAGCTTTGAAGATTCGAAGATATGAAGAACGAATCTTTGAAGATTTGAAGATATTCATATGAAGATTGAATCAATATTCAATTGAAGATCAAGCCATATATCCCGGGAAGCCCTTTAACAGAAGATCAAGCCACATAACGGCCCTTTTGTTGAAGATCAAGCTACTTGAAACCGGAGGCCCTTCAATATTGAATTTTGCATTCAAGAAGATTTGAAGATCTGAAGAATGAAGTTCGAAGATTCGAAGATCTCAAGAACGAAGATTCGAAGAATCGAAGAACGTTCGAGTTTTGAAGAATTAGAGATTTAATTTTAAATTAAATTCTTTAATTATATTCATATCAAATTGCAAGTGAAGAATCAGAGGATTCATATTTAGAGATTGTACCCAATATTCTCATATTTTATTATTTGCGATCAATTTTAAGTAAATACTTAAAATTTGTTTCACAAATATTTTATGAGCTAGCCCTGTTTTTGTTGTTACGCTCGGTTCCAGGTTGATTTCAGGAAGGAGTGCTGCAGCCACATTCTTTCAGAGCTGTAGCGGTCTGCTCTTGTTCTTGCCGCTGATGCAGATCGGAGCTTGAAAGCTAGTTGGTGTTGGAGAAGATGCCGATGCCTCTTGCCGGACTGCTTGTGTTGGAAGCTAGTTGGTGACGGAAGCTAGTTGGTGTTGAAAAAAATGCCGATGCCTCTTGCTGGATTGCTCGTGTTGGAAGCTAGTTGGTGACGGAAGCTAGTTGGTGTCGTTATTGATGGAACCTGCCGTTGTACCCAGGAGCTAGTTGGTGTTTGGCAGATTGCTGGTGTCGTCTTTGAGGGAACCTGCCGCCGTACACGAGTGCTAGTTGGTGTTTGGCAGATTGCTGGTGTCGGATGCCGCGGAAGCTAGTCGGTGTTGACGCTGATAGAACCTGCCGCTGTACACGAAGAGCTAGTTGGTGTTTGGCAGATTGTTGGGGTCGGATGCCGCGGAAGCTAGTTGGTGTTGACGCCAAGAATTTGGATCCAGATGCTGATTTTTGTTGCTGCCGCCGAGATGATGGCGCATGTGCTGTTGCAGTCGGAAATTGATGCCGGAGCTTGGTGTATGACTTATGCAGTTCGTCGGAGAGCTATCGTCGCTGCTGATTCGTTACTGGGACTTGAAGTTGGTTGCTAGTCGGAGAAGAAGCCGTCATCACTATTGTCAAAGGCCGAAGTCGAGACGGGGAAGACGATTGGCCGAATTAGACATTGATTTTTGTTCAATAGAAAAGCCTTTCTTTGATGTTGTTGCTAGTCTTCTTTCGAAGTTTAATTTACCGGGTCGCGGGTTCCTTACAAAAAGAAGCTGTGTGTTAAGTTATTGGCAACAGCAATACTTTTTGGACCTTATCATAAATCTCGAACGTTCCCATTCCTGGCCTCATTAATTGAGATTGTTTTAAGATATTTAAGCTCTTCCAAATTCTCGGCACTAACGAATAATTCATGTCTCCTTTTTGACAATTTTATCATTATAATTATTCTCATTATATATGATGATAATAATGACCTTTTTTTTGCTTGTTGTAGTGCAAAATGGTGTATCTTAAAGATGTCAGGCATGGCACCAAAATACATATTGGCACTGATCAAGCCTCCAAAGACGCCATTGATGTTGTCGTTCAAGAAATCATTGCTTTTGCTGTCGGCGTCACTTGCTCCGTTGTTGGGATGGTGGCGTCGTTCAAAGTTCAAGAGACACTACTGTTGCCACTGTTGTCGACGCCACCTGCTCCGTTATTGGGATAGTGGCATCATTGTATAGACGTCTTTTGAAGCTCAACTCAATCAACTTCCGATGAGGAGGAGATCAAAGAATTCCCAAGCCTTTGCCATTCATCTGACTTTTTGCTTTCGTAAGCCCTCTTCTGATATTTTTTTTTTTGACAAAGTGACTTTATTGGGATTTATTTTGTTATAACTGAACTCAAAAATGAAACTTTTGAGCTGCCTACGTACTCCTGTGAAGGAGATCAAGTCAAACGTAGTTCATAAGTACCATTTGAATTGGTAATCTAAGTGGGTGGGGTGTCATACACAGTTTTAACTCATGCGGGCCAGGAGCTTGCCGTACACATTTTAAACTCTCGTGGGCCAAGAGTGTCTATGATTATGCTCACCCATAGACAAAGTGAGATGTTTTAGCAGTTTAGCCACTTACAACATCATTGGTGGTTTAAGGAATTCAACGTTTCATTTGACATATTTATACCCCGACATCAAGGGTACTAAATCTTCATTTTGGTCTTCATAGACACTAGTATATATACCTCACATATTGATTAATGAGGAGCAAGGGGAATTACCCTAAAATTATACACACATACCTACAACTCTCGTTTATAGCAGTATAGTGTCATGATCAAGGGCAAATTTGAACGTAAGTGCTAAGGACGGTCGTTCAAGTCACTGACAAGAACCGTGTGCTGTTTTGACTAGGAATGTGGGTTCTGTTTTAACTGATTCACATCGCCAGACTAAAGGCTATGGGAGATATCTGAGACCCGGATTTAAATGGGGGTGAGCTAGAAATAGCAGAGAACTGGATATCACTTCGACGTGCCTTTGAGGCACAATTGGGGGCGACACACGGGCAGAAGAGGGAAGCACGGGCTGGGCAGGAGAAGGGGAATTCACGAGAGTCTAGTTCTTGTAGCACCATTAGCATATTCATGTTCATGCACTTAAATAAACATATATTTATGACACCTACTTTTTTCAATATAATCTTATACTCCCTCCGCCCAACTAAGATTGTCTCAGACACTATTCACTTGGTCAACACAAATCTTTTACTTTATAAATCAAATTTTTATCATATTTGATTCTGGTTTTTGCGACTTTGTAAAACTTTTAATGCAGTTTCCGAATATGTAATTTGTTTTTCTAAAATAATTTGAGTGCGAACAAGGATGTGTTTGTTTTATCGCCGGTCTAACATCGTAAACCGAATTGTTCTAAACTTAGTGGGGCAAAGGTAGTATCTTCTAAATCACATCATTTCGCATTTCAAAATAATCATATCTTTTTTGGATCCCGTACTCACCAATTAATACTAATTTCACAATAATCTTGAGATAATCAGAATTTATATTCTGATCTCAAATTATTTTATCAAATAATCTCACCAAATAATCTCCCTCATCCAACCATGATCCCAAAAATCATCAACTTAATCTCGTAATAATATAATGGATGAAGATGTCCTTCAGAGGACAACTTGCAACTACTCAAATTAAGGGCCAAATTAAGCAGGTGATGGTCACGGGTTCAAAGGGTCACGAGTTCAATTATAGGTCCAAAGGCTCAGAGATTTGCTTTCATGGAAGGATCTCTAGGTAAAATCACGGTTGACCATCCTCCTGAGAATGAGATTCAAGAATATGGTAAGATCGACTGAATATAATTCAGAATCTAGTGGATTTGAAATTGCAATTGAAAGCAAGACTTTTAGTTTCAATTGGATTGCTAATGCCCTAATTAGCATTTCTGAACTTAAGCATGGATATTACTGCTCTATTGATTTTGATCTGGCCAAATTAATCTTATTGAGAGATGACATTGCTAAGTTGCTAGCTCAAGCTCACAAATGGTCTTGCAATAGACTGGAATTAGGAAAGTCGATTACCATCCTATTAAATGTTACTTTTTTGGGAGCTTTTATCGTATCATTATATTGAAAAAGAACCTGACTATTTTCATACCGGGGGTCGAAATGGATCCGAAATTAGAGGTTTTTTAGCAAGTATCTCATCAAAAGTCATTAATATGAGCTCATCCAATTGAAAGTTACTCAACAAAATGCAGAATTGTTCGCTTTAGATAGGGATTTATTCAGGTCACTTGGGCAAAGCTCTAATGAAAATGACATATCTATATTTGACCTTTTGTTTCAAAATGACATTGCGCACTTTACTCGATCGAAAGCCTCTCACGCCGTGGTCCGTGGAGTACCGAGAACAAAGTAATAGCTAACGCACAAAAGGAATTCACAAATGCTTATGATGTTTTTCATGAGCCTTCTGTTGCAAGTTCAAAAGAAGAGTAGCAGACACTCCTAGAAGATCTTAAAGCGGGACTTCTAAACATCTAGAAAGACTTGGATCAAAAGCTCAAAAAGAAATCAATGGCAAAATAAAATATACAAGTCTTCTAGACACTAAAGCTTCTCCTATAACACCTTTAGAGGATGATTGATGGTTTTACCCTAGTTACTTTCAAAAAATCCAAACGACATATTGAAGCCAGAATGAGTAATATTCAAATTCGTCTTCAAAACAAGCTTGTTTGGGATTTAATGATATTATTTCTGCATGGTTGAGTTACTTAATTGTTGCACTCTCTTTGCATTTTCTTTCTTGTAATCTTTTTTCGATTTAATAAATTTGGTAAATGACTCCAACATTTACGCCACTGTGGTTTGTCTTACGGGATAAAAAATTCTAATATTAAGCCACTTTATTTCCAAATTATTAAATTTGTTTTTGGATGGAGTTTTCTTTCATGATTATTAATCATAACACAAGGAGATTTATTGCATTTTTAAAACACAATGATAAATAATGTGCAAAATTTAATTACGAATGACAATGTTTGATGCATCAAGTCCCTTTTATTTCTTCCATCTTATTTGGTTCCGGTTTCATCCAAACCACAAGTCCACAAAAACTCACATCAAATCATGACCACAGGTCCACAACAACCACAACACGACAATATATAACATTAATGGGTGGTGCTCAAACGGTATGTTGAGGGAGTAAAAGAAAAAGATTCTTTTATTTTGCTTGTGCCATTTGGTCCATCAATGTTGACGACTTCTCCTCTACCTCCCACAATCCTTTTTCTTACGGAGTAAAATGCTAATCATTAATTTCATTTTTCTTTAAATGCTAATCGTTAATTACCTTTACGACTAAAATTCTAAGCTGTAAAAGGTGACAGTGTGTTGCTCTAATATAGTTGGGTTATTTTTTTATAAAAAGGATTAGTATACAATATAGGAAACTATATCATCTAATAACAAACATATATATACATTCTTTCTTATTATAGGAGAAAAGATAAAGACTCAAATTTTATCTTTGAAACAATAGGTTGCATTTTCCTTCCTAAAATTTCAAAACAAATTTTATGTCAATATAAATACTTTTTATTATTAAATACTACTACTGCGTATTTATTAATAGTTTTTGGGAATTTAACAGTAACTTAAATAAATTCATAAAAAGCTAATCTCACATATTGTTCTATAAATATATTAAAAGTGTATCTAACTGTATTTTACTAAAATAAAATGAAAGTGTGATTATTAAATGAATTGAAAACCAGCTGGTACAATAATACTTTATAAAAAAGTTTCAAAAGTTTCAAAAGTAGTTTAGGAAATAATACGTATTGTTTATGTTTACTAATACAACCGGTCTTTGTTTGATCGGGTGTGACACTTTTTATTTAAAATGCCTTGCACGATAACTTGATTAGTTAAAAGTAATCCTAGTTTCTCCATGTATAGAAGAAAATCTGTTGTAAGAGCATTTTTATCTTCAAACTAGAAAGAAATAAAAAAAGGCTAAATGATTAAATAAGCCTTTTACCTGTCCAGTAAGCTCAATTCAGTCTCTTAACTAAAAAGATGGTCCAATTTGCACCCTGAACTAGAAAAAAAATGATTCAAATTTCAGTTTTAAAGGGTCACCACCCGGTCACCCGCCACATCACCGGTCAAGTTTTCAACTCTGCATCTAACTTCAAAATTGAAAGCTCAAATTAGTCCCTGAACATGTTTGAATTGTTCAATTAACCCCTCAACTTTAAAAAAAGGTTCCAAATTGGGATAAATTCAAAATAAACTGTAAAACGTTAATTATAAAATTATAAGATATAGTATAAATATATATGGTAAATTTTTTTGTTTTTCGATTAATTCAAAATATGAATAGGAAAATATAATAAAAATGAAAAGATACTATATATATATATATATATATATATATATATATATATATATATATATATATATATATATATATATATATATATTACATTAGTAGTTTACTCTTAAATTTTACACTACTCACTTGCCCTACTTTGCATGACTACATTTAATTTATTAAAGTTTCACGAATTTCATTTTATAAAAATATTGTTAAATTTGGCTTATGTTAAAGTTTCAAAATCTATTTTTTTCAATTTTTATAAATCGTGAATTAAATACATTAATGGTCAAATTTGTGTGTTGGCAAATGTTAAAATACAAGTGTATGTTGCAACTAAACAAGAATAAAGTAAGTATAATACACAGAAAAAATGACCAAATATAAAATATAATTCAAATTAAAAATCAAAAATAAAATGGAATATAGGAAATGGAAGGACAAAAATAATAATTTAAGAATCAACTATTAATGTAAAAAATATACATATAGTATCTTTTCGTCTTTTTTATAGTTTTATATTCATATTTTTAAATAACTGAAAAAGATAAATATTTTTGCCATATATATTTATACCCTATCTTATAATTTATATTTATTTTTGTCAATTTATTTTATATTTATCCCAATATTGAACCTTTTTAAAAGTTGAAGGGGTTAATTGAAAAATTCGAGCATGTTTAGGGACTTATTTGAGATTTCAGTTTCGGAATTAGATGCAGAAGCTGGCAACTTGACCGGTGCCGTGGCGGTTGACCGGATGGTAACTCCTTAAACAATTTTTTTCTAGTTCAGGGTGTGAATTGGACCCTTTTTTGTACAGAGATCAAATTGAGCTTACTCGATAGGTACAAGGACCTATTTGGCCCTTTAGCCAAAAAATGATTGGAATTAAAACATGAAATTTTCCTTGATTTTTATTTTTTACTCTCTTTGTCATAAAATAAATGTCATTTTTTGTTTTCAATTGTCCCAAAATGTTTTATTTCCATATTGAAAAAAATATGTGATTCATAATATTCATTCTTTCTACTCACATTTCGGACAAATAGTTTACTTCCGGACCCACTACAAAAAAACACGTCTTTAGTCACGGACGTTAGTCACGGATTTCGTCCGTGACTAGCCTAGTCACGGGCTAGTCACGGACTAGTCACGGATTTTTGAAAAAAAATTAGTCACGGATTTGGCCGTGACTAAGTCCGTGACTACATAAATCCGTGACTACGAACCGTGACTAAAGTCCTCCGGTTGCCCCAACTCCGTCGCCGGTAAGCCCGTTTTTATTCCGGCGACTTAGTCACCATTTTATTGATAAATGATAATCCTGTCAAACTCGATCAAATAAAACTATTCATTCGAGTCAGAAGGAGTACCATTTAATCTAGCGGGGTGAAAGTATAACTGTTTGAGTCAGTTCTTATAAAAGAAAAATCAATAAGATAGATTGTGCATTTGTTAATAGTTAGGGATGTATTAAATTTATTTACTTTTTTCTGAAATGTAAAATGCTTACAATATCTTGAATTTGTTATGACAAGCTACCGCACATTACAACTTGACGGATGGTAATGATACAACAAGAAATGTATAGATTATGATAATAAGTGGAGTAATGTAGAGCATTAATATTGACGTAAAGTGTACTTATCAAATCTAAAAAGAAAAAAAAGATCTATAAATTCCTAGCATTTTTATAATGTCATGTCATAACTCCGACATGAAATGAAGTAACCCTGACAAAAAGTGTATTAAAAGAAAAAAAAGAAAAATTCATAACATTTTCGTAATGCCAAAAAAAAAAAAGATTTTTATAATGTCGTGAGTAATGCTTGCATGAAATGTAGTAAATGTCGTGCAGTAACGCCTACATAAAATGCATTATTTTTAATCATCCAAAAGTAGTGCAAAATGCACTTAAAAAGGTATTTTCATCCCTCAATATTTTAATATAACGTGAATTTTTTTTTTGGAAATTTATTGATGAAGTATATGGCCCAAGACCCCCGATCCACATACTCCCACTATCTAAAATGACCCAACAACAGTAGTGGCCCATATTCAACGGCCCAGATACGGCGGCCCAAGTACAAACATCACAAGCACGGCAAGGAATACCACTCAGGCCCAAGCCCGAGGTGTTCAAACTAAAGCATCCTGGTACGGTTTGCCTCAACAAGATACGGTTCGCCTCAACAAGAGAACTAGATCATTCGCATCTTCAACTGAGCCCTTGTAATAGCCTTCAGCCCCAAGGACGAGGCCCTGGGCCTTGGCACTAAAGATATTCGGCTATCATTTCCCAATGCTTAACCACCGCATTTAATGATGTGTCATGTGCCCGCATTCATGGTGTTGGAATGCTCCCCGCCATAGACTAGCTTACACGTGCACATGCATTTAATGCTCTCAACATTTATGACCAGTATAAATAGCAACCCCTTGGAGGCTTGGAAATTGTAACGGTCAAATGCTCATTAATACAATTGCTCTCTCTCTCTCTCTCTCTCTCTCTCTCTCTCTCTCTCTCTCTCT